CATTGGTTGATTAGCTTTGTATGTCTATATGTGTTTTCATGAGAAACTACATTGAAGATATCAATATGCAATACAATAAGCATTGTTAATTCCCTACCACTCTGTTTGTAACTCTGTAATGTCTGTACTGATCCTATGCTATTTTGTAAAATGTTGTCAGTCTGTTAGTATTTTCCTCCTTTAATTTCTAAAATTAAAAAAAAAAAATTCTAAAAATAGATCCAACAATTTACTGATGTAGCAGTCCCACCCCCTAGGGTCATATGCAAAGAAACTGAATGTCGAGGAGACACCTGCACTCCTGTGTTCAAAGAGCATTACTCACAACAGCCAAGATAAGAAATCAGTCTAAGTGTCCATTGATAGCTAAATGGATGAAGACCATATGATACTTCTGTATCTATATAGATATATAATGGAATACTATTCCTACTGAAAAAATAAAAGAAGGAAATCCTGTCATTTCTGGAAGGCATTATACTAAATGAAATAAGCCAGCCATAGAACACCAAATAGCTCATAATCTTTAAAAAGGTGAACTCACAGAAGTAAAGAGTAGAATGTTGTTTACCAGAGGCTGGTAGCAAAGGTGGTACAAGATTAGGTAGAGGAGTTGGTCAGAAGGAACAAAGTTTCAAACAGGATGAGTAAGTTCTGAGCCCTATTGCACAACAGAGTGGGTAGAGCTAATAATAATGTACTATATATTTTTAAATAATTAAAATTAAATTCAAGTGTCTCATCACAAAAATAATAAAGTGACAGATAAGTTAATCAGCTTGATTTAGTCATCCCACAATGTTTACATATATCAAAATATCACATTCTACCCATAAATGTATACAATCATGATATGTTTAGAATAATATTAATAACATACTCAGTTTGAACTGCCCTTTAAAGTAAGTTAGTTTTAATAGAAAGGAAGGAACCAAATATTTCCTTTAGAATGGGAGAGAGATTTGATCTTGTTTATAGATTGAGGAAGATGCATTTAAAAGTGGTTAAAGATAAAGAATAAGAGTGATCAGGAGGCAGGGGATAGGGTTGGCTTTAAACAGGTTGATTTCTTATCCTGCTACATCTTTTTGGCCTAAATTACACATTCTCTTTCCAACATAAAGAAGTCATATATCTTAAGAGGTTAATTTGAGCTAAATGGATTTAGCATGGATGTCACCATGTGGATGTATCACAGCTGATTCCTGTATTGAACTGTTGGTTCCAGACTCCTTACTTGTCGAATACTTGCAGCCTGCTTCTGTTCAAGAGCATATATAAGTGTGATGAATGTATTGACTCCTCTTCTGCCAGACCTTTCCCTTCTCAAAGTTGCTGTTTGTCCCAGACACATTGCTGTGGTGAAGCCTGACCCCTGTGACTTAAAACACTCTTGTACATTAATTGTGGTTAGTAGCTTATGACAAATGTGAAAAAATGCTAGTGCTTACTGCCAAGATATGGGATACTTTCTTATGAGAAAAGCAGTCCAAGAAGGGGAACTGTCTTCCCCACACACCCCACAAACTTCTTTCTGTGAAGATTAAGGTATCTCTGAGGCCAGGGAAGACTGGATCACCTGTAGGTATTGAGGATCTGGGTGTGGTGATGGTGATGGGAGTGTAAACAGTCCCGGCTTTGCCCGGTAGAGATAGAATGTCATTTTCCCCATTCAGGAAAATAGAAAAGTGCAGAAGCAGTGTGGTGTGAAAGAAAAGGATAGAATTGTAAAAACTGTCTTGAAAAGAAGAGTCTCTGTGGGATGGGATTCTGAGGGACATTAAAGACAATTTTACTGATAGTATTTGTATTCCCTTTTGCTTGCTTGAGCATACTACTTTGATCATTATGTCAGCCCAAACCTTGGGCACATGGAGCCTTGTGGTTATTTGGAATCATCTGGTAAAATTAAAAGACATAAATTTGTTTTGTTGTAAGAGTTATTCTACTTCTTCTCCCTCTTCCTCCTCTTCTCCTTCCTCCCCCTCCCTCTCCTTCTCGCCCTCCCTTCTCTTCTTCCTCCTCCTTCTCCTCCCTCTTCCCTCTTCTTCTTCTTCTTCTTCCTCTATTATTCTGTGGGTAAATAAACTTCAAATTATTATGCAGTCTCAACAGGGGCAATCATGGAAGCTCAAAAATTTTAAAACAAATAGACCAATCCAGAGAAATTTACCAAATTCTGGTGCTCCCATCCAAGCATAATGATCAGCAATCCATATTAAACTCACTAAAGTGTCCTGGAAAACATGGGATCAGTGGAAGACAGCATCAATCCAGGATGCAATTGAATTTTCCAGTGTGGTACCATGGAGTCCCTCTGGACTGTTGCTAAACCCCAGCCAACAAATGGAGGATAAGCAACATGTTACAACTCTAGGGGCCTAGGAAGAGGGAGAAAGCATAAATCTGCAGAAAAACAGTAGCTCAGGGGCAAGGTGATCTTAGCAGAAGCAGAAGGAAGGAAAGCCATTAAATCTGTTCATAAGGACTGGGCAAACATGCTGGTGAGTAGAGGAAGAGCTTGCCCTCCATCCTTTCTACTGTAATAATTTAGGTGATGAAGCTACTAAAATATCCCAGACCTAGTTCAGGGCAGCCTAGCCAATCAGTGGGGCCATGTAGACACCAAAATACAAGCATTTTTCTCCTCCTCTCTGTACCTTCCTATCTATGTGAGGTATCCTCACCACTGTGTGTTTTGCAGAACTGCTCTCCAGTGTGGCAATATCCCATGTTCTGGGTCTTTCCGAATCGTCTCTTCTTTTCCCCAGTCAAAACATTCTCTTTTTATTCCCCAGTGTATCCCCTCTTGCCAGAGACCAGACTAGGAAAAGAAAAAAATTGTCTAAAGACAGATATCTCTGTGGATTAGTCCATCCAGATAACCCTGACATCTTAGCAAATGCTTTTAGTACTAAAGAGGGAATATGGTGGGAAAGTTTTAGACACTGGCAGGGTGAATAGAATAGCTGTTTATCTAAGTATTTATTATGTGAATGTACTTCTCAAAAGGAGCCATGTAAATTGTTGCCTATTTGATTGTATGAACATCTGGTCCTGTCCCTCCCTTCCTCTCTCTCTCTCTGTTTTTTCCTCTTCTTCCTCCCCTTCTCTCCCTCCCGCTCTCTGTCTCTTTGCTACTATATCCCTAACTCTCTTTCTTTTTTTGTGTAACATACACTCTTTCTCAGCCATACAGAAATACAGAATTACTGCACATTATTTAGTATTCATTTATAGATTTCAAATTTTTGGAAATGTGTAGATTTGCTTTATCCAAATGTTTTAACTATTTCATGTGTACTTAAAAAGAATGGATATACTCCATTGTTGAATGCAATGCTTATTGGATCAAGCATGTAACTGTGTTTTCAAATCTTCTATATCACATTGGCTTTTTGCTCTTTGATACATGTTACCAACAAAGGTATCATAAAATTTCCCACCACAATGGATTTTTAATTTTCTCTTTACAATAGTGTCAATATTTTCTTTATGTATCTTGAGGTTATACTAAGTGCATATTAGTTTATAAATGCCATTTCTTTCATATGAATCAAAATATCTTTATGTAGTTATCTTATTTACTCATATTAATATTTTGTCTGATGATAATATACACAAATGTAGCAATATAACCACGTTTTATAGTATTTGTCTAATATATTTATTGTTTATATTGCTACATAACAAAATTACCACCTACAGTAGAGAGAACAATTTACATTCATTATCATCTCAGGTACTGCAGGTCAGGGATTCTGGAGAGATTTAGCCAGGCAGTTCTCCGGTGGGGACACAGCCTGTTTGAAGAAGGACGGTGTGCTTCCAATATGACTCACTTACATGGCTGGCAAGTTGATGTTAATTACTGACAAAACGTTTCAGTTCTTCTCCATAAGGGTCTCTCCCCAGGCTGCTTGAGTATTCTCACAATGCATTGCTTGTTGAATTCTCCCAGAGGGAAGCCAAGATAGAGAATCAAATGAAGGATCTTTGTTATCATGTGACAGGGCACCATTCCACCTCTGTCTATGAGAATAGTTCAGGTTTAAAAAGAGGGAAATTAGAGAGGGAAATTAGACTCTATCTTGAGAAATGGAGAACATTGATTTTTGCTTTTTTTCTGTTTTAATTCATCCTTTATAATCAAAGATACTCTTTATTGGGGGCTTTTATGTAAGAAGAGGGAATTTTTGTTTTCTTTTTAAGAATTTCCTTCTTTTCTTGTCAATTTAGTTATATGTTTAATAGGGTTCTTAAAACTATGTTAATTAGGAAAGTTTCAAAGTACTCTGAAAATAAGAGTAACTTTGAATCCATAACCCACAGCAGACTGATAAAGAATTACACCCAGAATCTAACCTTGCTTGCCTGCTAAAACAAAAATATTGACATTTATCATGGTATTCAAAGACTCAAGGACTACTAACCCAATATTTAAGGGTCCAGTATACAATTCAAAATTACACAGCTTAGGAAAAACGTAAAATCTCACTTTACCAGTGAGATTTTTTTGTCATGGAAAAAGACAATCAACAGACACCAATTCTAGGATGATATCAAGATATGAAAAGAACTTAAGCAGCTATTAGGAAATGGTCCAGTAAGGAAGGGAAAATACTCTTGACACAAATGGAAAGTTTGAAAGTGTGGACAAACAAATAGAGACGCAAGGAAGAATTAACTGGAAACTGAAAAACTGAACAATAATTTAAAACTGAAATTTATAAGATGGGCTCAATATGGTTTAATTACATTAATCATTAGGCGTTTTTGGCTGGTCCGAGTGCAGTGGTGTTTACAACTAATTGATCCCAACCATTAGGCTTTTTAAAAATGATGTATTTTTCAAATTTACTTATAAATTTACTTATAAATTTACTTATTTACTTATAAATGATTTACTTATAAATGATTGATAATCATCATCTCTGAAGTACAATAGCCCTTAATAACATGTTTTCTGAATGAACAACTTAATGTATGAACATAGCTCCAGCATATTTGGAGCTATGTTAAACTTAAACTCTTCCCAATTCCCTGAGCTATATCACGGAGATTTTTTAAAAAAATATAATAACCGCTTCTAAGGGTTCATTTGAGAATTAAATGAAATAATGCACATAAAAGGTGGGGGGAGGGAAAGCCTAGCACATGAAAACATTAATTCCCTATGAGTTGATACTACTGTTACAAATGTTGGCACTATGCAGTGTTTATTATATTGCACTGAAATTGGCTTTTGATATATGTTTCCTCAACTAGACTGTTGTCCTTGTATCTCTAACACCTAGAATAATACTAGACAAATGGTAAATATTCACTGGCAGTTGACTGAACTGAATTGGTGATTGGAACAAAGAAATAAGTCCCGTAATATTTTAATGTTTAAGTATTTGGTACACAGTACCAGGCAGATCCAACCACAAAGCAGTGGGGATGGAATGGGGCTGAAAAATCACGAAATGCTCCAATTGTGGTTTCCATAGTCTCATTTTGTTTCTTGTTTTGATGTCTTGTTTTGATTTAATTTTGGCAAGGAAAATCCTGCATGCAAATCAAATCCTACACAAAAGATTAAACAAATAAAATAATTTTTTAAAAATCCTACACACACTTCCCTGGCTGAAGACACCTGCTGGGTTCTCCCATCACACATTAGCATGGGCAACTTAAATGACTTTGGGGGCTCAGCTTGAAAAGCCCCAAACAAGACTCTCTTTGTGGACATTTCCACCTGTCAGGTTCCATAAACTAAATCTTATTATGTGAGAGTGGTTAGATTCATCCAGTACCTTTGTGACCTAAAGCAAATGTATTCTTGGAAAAGAAAAAGAGCATTAAACCCATCATTCAACTGTGCAATAATTACTATGTAAAAAAATAAAATCTGTCAGTTTCAGTGGGAAACAAAAGACAAGAAATGATTGATAAGTTGGAATACACATGAGTTAGGGTACATCCTGCTGGAGGTATCAGAAGACTACCCTAGACATGGCTGAAGAATTGGCAGTTTGTTGTTTCATAGAAAAAGGCCAAGCTTGGGGCAATGCCAGGGTGAGTCACCAATGAGCTGACCTTGTCAGGGACCCAGGTCCTTTCTCTCTTTCTTGCTCTGCCATCCTCAGCAGGGAGGAAAGCTCTCATGTTGTTGTTGCAAGATGAGTCAGTCATTTCTCATGCAAAAGTAATCTCTTTAAGTGAAGAAATGTGTTGATTCCCATGTGGCCATTCTCAAAGAGGGTATCTTGGAAGAGGTGGAGAAGTTCTATGACTTCCACCATTTGTAACAAAAATAGAGAGCCAGAGTCTAACTAAGCTCCCAGCTATTCATTAATTAAATAGAGAAACACAAATACTTAGGGCACCATGACTCATACTTTTTAAGGTCTCACCTTTATAAAGAAAGTCTGTCTGAATCTCAGCAGCAGAGAGATGACATGCTCAAATTAGGATAAACTGAGAAGAGTTTACTAAAGCAAGTGCTTGAAAAGATATGTGTAGAGGGTTGGGAAATGAAGGGGTCAGGAAACCCAGAGTTTCCACAATTTTCCCCATACCTGAACAGAGGAGGGAGGAGCAGAGGAGACTTAACTAAACCTGGAAGAAGAAAGTCATGTAACAGACTTTTACTGGGATAGAATAGATTTTTTCTGAAAGAACCATATTGAAAATATTTGTTTTCTGAGCTTTGTGTCTGTTTGTCTCCACTGTTCAGCTCTGCCACTGTAGCAAAAAGCAGTCAGAGACAAGTAAAGGAGTGGTTGTGGCTGTCTTTCAATAAAATTTTATTTACAGACACTGAAACTTAAATTTCATGCAATTTTCATGTACTGTGAACTAGTCTTTATGTATTTGCAAAATATATTTTCAATGTTTTAAAATATATGCAGCTGGTAGCTATACAAAAAAGTAGTGGGTTCCATTTGACTTACAGACCATGGCGTGTAGAACCTTGGTATCAAGGTGTGCTGCAATCTTTAGCTGAGGGAAGCAGCTGAACTTAGTGACCAAATAAGGAGGAAGCCACAAGAATAAATACCTGATCTCACTCTCTTCTCCGCATTTTGAAGTCCTGCTAAGGCTCTCCCTTAAAAACTCCAACCAGAAACCAAAAGTAAAAAATTCATTAATATAGTCCCTATAAATTATCTCCTGTGACAGACAGCCAGGTAGAGAAGGTTATAGAACAACCGGAGGGACAAACTTCCTTACATTATCAGTTTATTATCCTCTGTCTCATTCCTTTAGAAGTTCACATAAACTCACAGATGTAAACTCAGAGAACAAAAGGCTATTTATTGTAGTTTCCTTCGGGGCAGCAACAAAGCAGAGACAGGAATAAAGCTATATCCTGTTCTAAATCCAGGCAGAACCCAAAAGAATAGAGAAGGCGGTTTCAGCTCTATAGAGAGATGGAAAACAAGTCAGACCTTTGACACACTGAACAAATTTTAAAAAGAAAGACAATGGCTGAATGGGGCCTGCCTGATGACACTGGTGTTGAGTGGAAGGGAAAACCTACATTTGGCTTAAAGAATAAATCTTCCTAACAACCCATTTTAACCCAGGGACCATTTGCCTTTCCTTTAAAACTCTAGAGAATGTGGTCTTATTTCAGAGCAGATTTGACCCTGACTGAGCACCTACCTTACTTCATTATATGTGTTAAGAGTCTTTAAGTTGCAAGTGACAGAACCCAACTAAAATCAGTTTAAGTCTTAAAAGAGAACTCATACAAAGAATTCCAAATTGCACTATAAAGAAGAGTTGACTAATTAAGCCACTAAAATGGCAAAGATGGCTCTCAAATTTCTGGGAACTGGGAATATATATGGCATCAAATTCTCTGTATCTCACCTGTGATTCTGTTTGTTGGCTTCATTTTCATTTATTTTTTTTTATTTTTTTATTTTTTTCCGGTACCGGGAACCGAACTCACGACCTCGCCCTTGCCAGGCAGGCGCTTTGCCGCTGAGCTAAATCCCCAACCCCTGTTGGCTTCATTTTCAAGATACGAAATCTGGATCCCCAGTTTCACCTCATACCTCTCAAGGAAATGAATCATTGGTCTAATTTGGATCACATGACCATTCCTGGGCCAATCAGTTGTGGTTGGTTGACAGCCAAAGGTTTGGTAGAACATTCCTTCTCCTATAGCAAAAGGGAAGAAAACAGGGAAATTTGTCTCACAGGTATCTGTTCTTCATTTTTCTGAATAGAAGAGCATTGAGTGTGGGACTTTTCTCACTTTCTCATCACAGGAGCTATATAATGTCCTTTATATGGCACTAATCAGAACTTCCTTTGGAATGAAAGAATGGATTTTGCTATCGACATTTTTCTTAGCTCACTTGAAACTTCCATCCTCTGGATAACATTTCAGAATGTCATCTAAGCTAAGATGATTTCATAACTCTTCTATTTTTAAAATTTTCAAATCTTGTTTAGTAATGTAGTTAACTATAATCAGTGAAGCACAGTAAAATAAAGCAAATTCTGGCACCAACTTCTAGATGGAATCAAGGTACACAAGGAGCATTATGTCAAATTACCCTCTATTTTGCTATTTATGATTTGACTGTCAGATGGATTTGTCAGATTAGTATGCATTTTGCTATTTATGTTTTAATTTTTAGATGCATAGCATATGTTTGATTGAGTTCTTCTTTCCAAATCATTGAACTTACATTATAAATACAAGTAAATCTAAGGCAATACTGAACACTCTCAGCAAAATCTTAATTTCAAAATATCTCCTCGTCACAGACTCCATTGTCTGCGTCCCTTTGTTTTTTTCACGGACCAAAATTCTATAACCTCATCATGACCTTCATTACCTCAGTTCTGATTCTACCCCTCACACTATTGGCCTCCTTTTCTCTTCAATTGTTTCCTACTAAATGGAAACGAGAGTCGGTCTTTTCTATGGCTGCCTTACACTCAAGAATCTCTTATACCCCTTGATTTCCCATCCATAACAATTTGTCCGGAACAACAATATTTAATTCAAAG